TTTTTTTTTTTTTTTTTTTTTTTTTTGACTGTTTTGCAGAGTAATTCCAAGGACCCTAATGACTGTAGAGGTACATAAACAAGGAAGTTTGCATTTGAAGCATATTCCCTTTGCTATGGATGAATGTTTACTGAATTTATAAATCTTGATATGTTTAGATAACTGGTGAGAGTGTTGGAGAAGTTAAACCCGTGTCGGATATGCACCAACGAAAGGCCGAGATGGCTCGACAAGCTGATGCTTTCATTGCTTTACCTGGTACTACTCATTCCTTGATCGTTCCATATGAATAGCACAAAGATTTTGGGCATACAAATAGTGTTAATAGCTTATTTTGTGCATAAAAATTGAAACTTGCAGGAGGATATGGGACGCTTGAAGAGCTTCTTGAAGTTATTACATGGGCACAACTTGGAATCCATCGCAAGCCTGTGAGTACTAAAACAATCTTCACCTTTTTTTGTATCCATTTTTATCCGTTTAGGCTACAGTGGCAGACAAGTCAAACATTTGGTCTCATCTGGAGATGACATTTCGTGTTCAAGCCATAATGATACATATATTAAAAAAAAGTTGCATTGTCTTTGTTTGAAAATGTTGAAATCATAATGATGGCCCTTTCACATGACATCCATGTGTTCTGGTTTGGCCTTCCATTTTATAATTCCATGATTACTAACCATATGGTGGTTTCCCATGTCTGTTGGAAAGAACCCACCAAAAAAGATCCCATTTTTCAACACCCTTTTGCTTGACAAACAAGTAAAGAATCCCTTTTATCCAAACCAAAATTTAGTTAGTCGACTATACGCGTGGGTACTTGGGATGAGTCAATATGAGTTCGTTCGAGTCAACCCAACCCTTAAACCTAATTTGTAGGACAATGACTGACAAACCCTTGGAATAGAGAATCAAAACATGTGAGTGTTACTCCAAACTCACATGGGAAAGATTTGGAGCTTAAAAGATTTCCCTTCAAAATTCCCCAATTATAACACAATAATTAAATTGGGGGTCAAACAAATCTCTTTGGTTTTTTAAGAACACAATTAATTATAAAAAGAAAATGAATAAAATTTGCAGGTGGGACTGTTGAATGTGGATGGATATTACAATTCGTTGCTGAATTTCATTGATAAGGCAGTTGATGAAGGCTTTGTGTCGCCAACCGCACGTCGTATTATTGTGTCTGCCCCAACTGCCAAGGCCTTAGTCAGACAACTTGAGGTACTTTTATTTATTTATATTTATATTATTATTATTTTAATTACTTTTTAAGGGCAGTGTGTCTCTGATTCAAAGGCTAACTTCACAGTTAAGGGCAGTCCCTACACTTTCCCATTCCTACGGAAATGGGCAGTGTCCCACTTGACTTGTTTGATTAAATTAAATATAATAATCTCTGGGTCTTAATTGCGTTTCGAGGCTTTAATTAGTCTCTAATTACCTCAACTGGTACACGATAATTTAACTAATTACAAACCGGCCCCTGGAGAATGGGGAATTTTTGGCCTTTTTTCTCTTTCTTTTTTAATTAATTAATTACGCCAGGAATACGTACCGGAGTACGACGAGATAACGTCACAGTTGGTGTGGGAAGATGTTGACAGGAGAAGTTACGTGGCCGAATCAGAGATCGCCACGTAATTCATGAAAAAAGCAAGGTCAAAGTGGCGTTACTTGGGTATATAAATATAAATATATATAAACCGTTATATGTCTTTATGAGCAAAGCATGCGATCTTCGCATTGCAACTTCCAACACAGGGAACTATCCACATTATTTTTTTTTTTTTTATTTTTATTTTTATTTTTGGTTGTGGGCAATTTGGCCATTTATGTATACTTGTTGGAAGTGAAAAGAAATTGGAAACAAAAAGGCTATTTTTTTTTTCTTTCCAATTATTAATATTGTTTAGAAAATGGTTATTTAAAAAAAAAGAAAGAAAAGGAAGAAAATGAAAAAATGGTATGGATTTGACTTAATTTGAATAGGTGTGGTGGGCATGTGAGGCACATGTTTAATGATTAATGTCCTAATTTTGTATTAGTTGGATGATTAGATCATTGTGTGTTTAAGCAATCAAAACAAATATCAACTTGGGTTAAGTCATATGCTTTCCCCATAAAACAAGCATAAACACCAATAAGCTATGAAGAACAATAAAATTTGTATGTTGGGTGGGTTCATGGTTCATACCAATATGGTAGCTACTCAGTTTCTGGGTGATTAAAAGCTTGCAGGACTATCATCCAATTGACTCTCGTCTTCTATTTCAACCTCCAAAATCTCCTGCATCAACACCACTCTTGACTAACTATTCATATACAAAACTGTTTACCCAAGATCAATCAATCCAAACCTAAACAAAACACTAAATTTTAATAAGTCAAAAATGTAGAGACAGAGAAAGAGAGACTTACAGGGATTCTCTGCTTCAAATAATTGCCCACCCGAGCTACAACTGTGGAACGTTTATGCCAAAATCGACCTTTAAGACTAATCTTCACAAATGGTCCATCTAATTCCGCCAATTCCACCACTCCTGAGTCACTTTCTTCTCTCAATTTATCGGAACTTCAATATCGAAAACTTGTAGTGTGGCAGAAACTCGCTAACCTGTAATGCCGACGGAGGCGTCGAAGATCTGTGCGAGCTCCGCACGAGCGTCATCCAGTGCCTGTCTCACGTTATCCTCCGTCAGATCCAGAGGCCGATTATCTGGAGCTGCCGTTGCCGAAACTACGAGTTTCGGTCTCCGCGATTCGAGCGGCGGCAGCGTCAGCTTCGGTGTCCTGACTCTCAATTGCCAACTGTACGAAATTGGAGGAGTTGAAGTGAAGAAGGTGGCGGGTACTGACGATGGCGACGGTGATAAGGCGATGTTGTGGCGGAGAAATTGCAACTGTAGCCGCATCGTGATTCTGAGGATGAGGGTTCGGTTTGTTCGGCAACTTGTGGCTCAGATTGGAAAGTGCGCCCTTCTGCGACTTTCATTGATTTAAGAACAGACACAAGTTTTACCGCTGTGATTCCGAGGAAGATTAGAGAAGAAATGTGAATTTTTCACTACAAAATGATAAATGGTTTTCTTTTTTGTTATTTCAGAACAAAAGATCATACATTTGAAAATTACGATTAGCCAATTTTTGATATAATATTTCATTCGAGTCAATAGAACAAGGTCGATGTTCAATTTCATGTCTCATATTCATTCAAATTGTCAAATTGTTCATTAGAACTGAAGATTTAGTTGGGGTTTCAGAACGATTCAAGTAATTTAAGGTTCGACCACAAATTTGGACAGTAGAAAAGCAAGGGCGTGAGAAAGCATTGATGCCATTGCTAATGCCTAGAAGAGCCTATCCATTTATTGCTGCTCCATTCATCTACAGATGAGAAATATGAACACTCTATATCCAATGACATGACTCACGCCTCGTTATCCAATTTGTTCCACAACCGGCATACCAAAAAATTTAAATAACTAAAATGGCAATGGCATTGCACCAGGCTCAGACTCAGACTTCATTAAGCAATAGCAGAAAAGTACTCTTTGCTACCCTTGGGGTCTGGCTTCATCGACTTCTCCCCAGGCTTCCATCCAGCAGGGCACACTTCATCTGGGTTCTCCTGCACGTACTGCAAGGCCTGCAACAACACCAAAGAGAAGGAAATTATACACAGGATATAAGATCAAGAACCCTTGATATCACTCAAAAGCCAAAAACAATAGTTGGCCTAGAGGATGAACTGAATTTCAGTCTCTTTTCGTTGCAAATTCAAGTCCCAATGGGTAGAGAGGAGGAAGTGAATTTGAGAAGACAATTACCTGGAGAGTTCTTTTCGTCTCGTCAACGCTCCGACCAATAGCAAGATTGTTTATTGTGGAGTGCTGGATAATTCCTTCCTTGTCAATAATGAAAAGGCCTCTCAGTGCGATTCCCTATTCATTAAAATGTTGCGGGACAGAGGTTAGATGAGCAATTACAACGATGTCATTTCTATACATCTATTGCAGGGGTAAACTCAAATAATGCGCACAAAATTGATAATTCATATGAAATATTAGGATAATCTCGTACCTGATCTGGGATCAGCACACCAAAAGATTTTGAAATTGATTTAGTGACATCAGAAACCAGTGGATACTGAAGATCACCAAGGCCACCAGACTTTCTATCAGTTTGGACCCAAGCAAGATGTGAGAACTGCGAAAAGGATTCTGTTAGTATCATCACACTTCACAATCCTCGATTCACCACTGAAAATAACTGTCTCGTTTTGAGGAATAGAAGTAGAATTCCACCAAGACAAAAGACTTGTTCTAAAAAATATCACTGTTGAACAAAAGAAGCAAGTAGAGATACTCACAACACTGTCAACAGAAACACCCAAAATTTCTGTGTTTAGCTGCTTAAATTCTTCATACCGGTCACTGAAAGCAGTAATTTCTACAAAATAGGAGGTAAAAGAAACTTAGGTTCAAATCAATTAAAAACAGTATTTACTGTACTTCAATTTGGCGTAGTTTAGTGTAACAAACCTGTGGGACAAACAAACGTAAAGTCCAATGGGTAGAAAAAGAGAATCACATATTTCTTCCCAATGTACTCGGAAAGTTTAACCTGAATAGTAATACTTCAGATAAAATAAGAAGAAAATGCAAGCCGACCAGTAAACATAGAACTATGATGATAATGTAAAATAAATCAGGGGTCCAAATATTCTGGATTAGAAGTATTGTATACAGCTGGAAAATTCTTCATCGACTTCATGATTGACATGGCAATTACAACCCTAAACACTTGAAAGATCACATGAAAACTGTTCTTGGCAGTTTATTGAACTGTACATTCCTCTCAGATACCCCAATATGAAAAATAAGTACCCCTGAAATTTGCGCATAATCTTGAACCATGACTTTTATAGGCTTACTTTAATTCTGATTTTAAAAAACCATTGCATTTAATGTATCCAAAACCAAAGCCATTGAAAAGTACCTTGATAAATTCCTGATCAAAAACTGCCTCTGCCTCAAAATCTGGTGCTATGTTTCCAACCAATGGGAGTTCACTCTGTAAAGGTAAATAATGAAACATAAAGTAAGAAGTGGAACCCTCAAAAGTAAATACTTCACATAGTCCCATGTTGAGTAAAAAGAAGCTGATTTCTGCCTTGCACGAGCAAGCATCGTGAGTTGCAAATAACCAAATACGCAAAATGTAGAATAACAAAATCTCCGCGTAATTCAAGCATATAAAATACAAAGGTGTTAAAAAGTGAAAATTTTTCCTCTAAACACTTCTAAGAAAAATACCAATGAAGTAATCCAAAAACACCTAAAAATGAACTGGTTCTAGATATGCTTTTTAAAATTTACATTGCCTATCATGGCCAAACACCATGAATATTTTAAATAAACACTTTTTATCAGTCCAAAAGTGATTCAATCTCGAACTCACTCTCGCATGACTGCAGCAATAAATTTGAAGACATGAAAAAACTAAATGAACATAACGAAGACAGAGGAGAACTTTTCAGAAAAGTGTATTTGAAAAGGCTACATTTGGGGGGAATCATAATGGGAATAAGTTCGACTTATAAAATTTTGACGTAATGCAAAAAGATTACAAAAGGAAAGGCTAATTCTTCCTCATCTGCCAACATTCAAATATGTATGACTAACATGTAAATGCTCTATTGATAATTTTCTATAGAAAACATAACTAGTCAAAACAATCCATCGCAATAGACAAAAAAAAAAAAAAAAAAAGTAGT